TTCAGTTTGTGAGATATGCAGCTTTATTTTACATTTTTAACATTTTCAATGCATAACATACAACCAGAGCTACTGACTTTACGCTAGTGTGCAAAGAGCAGTTAGAGTGAATATGAATAATTTCTAAATCTGTAGTGTGATGTAACGTTTTGGTATACCAGCACTCAACATATTCAAAGTCTAAGCCAAGTTAAAGCTCTGAAAGTTCCTATTTTTTTAGTCAGTTTCTTCTTGTAGGACCCTTTCAGCTTTCAGATTGATCCTCATATAAAGAGACTGCACATGAATTTCAGTTCTGTGAGGCTGATTATGGGAGAGGATGAACAATGCAGTATGTGTGGGTGGCAGGGTAGTTGTCTGACTCAGTTCAAATCAGCAGTCAGAATGGATGATTCAGGATGATGGCTTAAGGTGTAATTGTTTTCATTTCTATCATACAGTTGCTCTTTCGTTGCCTGATTGTTTCTTTTTGAGCCAGAAAGGCCATCATGAGTGGTCTGTCTCGTTGCTTTAAATAGGCCAAGAGGATGTGTTAAGCTCATTTCCAACTCTGTTTAAACTGTTGAACTGGGCCTTGGTGCAGCCCATTAATTCCGTCCTCTTTGTGAAGCAGGAGGTTTTGGCTCTGCTCTTTACAAAGGCCCTTATTGGCTGCTCCTCATTTGAATAGTAGATGGGTGGGGCCTCTGTGTTCACAACTAGAGTCTTATGCCTAAACCTTGTTAAGGAAAAAAAATGCTTTTATTGATATCAAACAGAGACAAGAGTGGGGGGAAACTTGCTAATGTGAGTATTCAGAGTAGTTGAGCCTCTTTTGGGTATGGTTAATATGGTCATCCAACTTTCTAACCTCATGTACAACAGAAAATCATGAAAATCATCATGGGTTCAGGTGATCTGACAACACTCCGATTACACATGCACTATAGCTGTGGATATCATTGTGGCCTTAAATCTTTTGCTTTGAACACTGTGTGGTGCAACAGGTTCGGAGGACTAAAGCACATTATAGCTTCGGAAAAGCATATGTGATGGGAGAAAGAGGATGGTTTAATTGTTCTGTTTTCCTAGAAGTTTCCTTAGTGTTGTCTGGAGAAGCTTAAACACAGCACAGTTTGTAAAAATAAAAAAAGGAAGCCTTTCGTCCGTTAAGAGACATCCATGCTAGTCAGGTGTTATGTGGATAAATTAACTGCAGATAAGTGATTAAATATCAGTCAAATACAACATAATACCTATGCTGAGCCGTAATACAAGCTCACCAGATGGTAAATTACAACTGACTATATACTGTGTATTCACAAAAAAGTATTTGTTCTGCACTTAACAGCTTTGGGACTTCCTGTGACAAAAATAAGAGTCTCAGGACGATAGGTTGTGATTAATTTAAGTTGAATATTGAGTAAAATAGCATGCTTTAGTATGTGAGTCAGTATAATAATTCTGTGATAATAAAGCACTCAGATTTTGATGCAAATAATATAATAATATTACAATGCTGTCTTTTTTAGAAAGGCAAAATCCGCCCGGTTTTGGTGTTGAGTGTAATTGTCAATTAACCACAACCGGTCATTGTCCGGATCGTGACGTGAGACGTAAAGAGGACACTACATTACTCGGTAACTAATCGTCAGCTGAGTTTAGCTCCTTTGTCTTGCTCTCATGTAATCAGAGACTGAATTTCAACCCAAACACTTCAAATCCTACCAAAATCTTTCTACATTTGTTTTGTGCATTTTATCTGTGTCTGCTTCGGTGATGCGCCAGAGAATAACTACGCTTTCTTCACCAGCCTGGCATCTGTACTCGTTTCCTGAAACCAAGTTGCAACCAACTGTTTCCTTTCATAAGTGCTTTGTACAGACTTTTGTCTGTGGTGAGTTGGTTGAAGTTCTTCGCTCTGGGATGATCGACACCAGAGCTGAAGGCAAGATGCCTGTATTGAGGATGTGCAAAAAAGGGCTGAGCTCTCAAAAAACAGACTTTTCACTGTATGTGTGTTTGCAGAAAGGAGCTCTCTGCATCTGAATGTGTCCTGCACTTTGTTTCTTTTGTAAAACGGACGAATACAAAGGGGTTGGGTGTTGAAAGCTTTCGCTTTGTAATTTCGTCTCATCCTGCATTCTAAATGTATATCACCTTTCTGTTCTTGGTCAGCAAGAAACGGATTAGAAATTATGAATGCATTTTTATGAATTGCGTGACATTTTGTTTTTGCTTTTGTATTCGTGTTTTGTTTTTTTTGTTTTTTTTTGTTTGTTTGTTTAAGTTTCAACTTTCTTTCACAATGCTTTTCATTATTTAACAAAACAAAAACATTGTAGACATTTGCTCAGTAAGACATTTGCTGCAGTGTGTGGATGTAGAAATATCAAGTGTATTAAATACAGTTCAGACTTAAAGCTGCTTCATGATGCATTGATGATTCTGCTTCACAGCTATCGTTGTCATTTATTAATGATCGCTCCCACCCCCACCCTAAAAAGTAGTCTTTTTTTTAGTATATTAAGTAACACACACACACACACTCACACTCAGTGCTGTTAATAAATATATGTGCTCAGCAGTGAAGTTAGATGTGGACATAAGTAGTCTTTGTGGAGCAAAATAAAATATTTAACTATGAAAAATAATTGGCTAAGGCTTGCTGAACTCAGCCTGTGGCCACTGGTGTGTCGACTTCCCAGGTTCCAGTGAGCTGTGAGTTTAGTCACTAGCTGCCATCACATTTACACTGACTTGTCCTACAGAGAAAAAAAAAAACAACTTCAAATATATAAACACAGTACTTAATGTCTTTTGGGACCTACAGTCGAAAACAGTGGTTAAGTCCTTACAGGGACGCTCCACTAAGTTTGCACATCATAGTTTGTTGTCAGGTCTTGAGGAGTACTAATACATATGTAAAATCAAATTTTATAAGGCTTTCTGTGGCTCCAGAGTGAGCTTTGTGAAGTCCAGTAAAGTAGTAGTAGTAGTAGTAATCCAGTATTTAGACAGTCAGTTGTGGTTGAAGACAAGGCTATATAAATACAGG